AGGACTAGACAAGCATGACATTGATCACCACCCAGTGATCGATCAATTGTGATTCCATCTCAGTCCTACAGTAGGTTAGTCACGGCTCGGATAGCTCAGTGGTAACGTCTCTGAATGTGAAGCTGGGTGACACGAGATCGAATCCGCCAGGGAGCATCAGTTCCCTCAAGATGACAGGTACACCTTGCTGACGAGTGCCAAGTAGCACGAATCCCGTGTGCAGAGTTTCCTGTTGACTACCTCCAACCACCATCTGAATCTCAATACATAGTGCCCGCAGTGTCGAGTCACCTAGACTGTTGGCCACATTGCAACATGATCGATAGCATTCGATCTGCACTAATAAGGACTAGACAAGCATGACATTGATCACCACCCAGTGATCGATCAATTGTGATTCCATCTCAGTCCTACAGGAGGTTAGTCACGGCTCGGATAGCTCAGTGGTAACGTCTCTGAATGTGAAGCTGGGTGACACGAGATCGAATCCGCCAGGGAGCATCAGTTCCCTCAAGATGACAGGTACATCTTGCTGACGAGTGCCAAGTAGCACGAATCCCGTGTGCAGAGTTTCCTGTTGACTACCTCCAACCACCATCTAAATCTCAATACATAGTGCCCGCAGTGTCGAGTCACCTGGACTGTTGGCCACATTGCAACATGATCGATAGCATTCGATCTGCACTAATAAGGACTAGACAAGCATGACATTGATCACCACCCAGTGATCGATCAATTGTGATTCCATCTCAGTCCTACAGGAGGTTAGTCACGGCTCGGATAGCTCAGTGGTAACGTCTCTGAATGTGAAGCTGGGTGACACGAGATCGAATCCGCCAGAGAGCATCAGTTCCCTCAAGATGACAGGTACATCTTGCTGACGAGTGCCAAGTAGCACGAATCCCGTGTGCAGAGTTTCCTGTTGACTACCTCCAACCACCATCTGAATCTCAATACATAGTGCCCGCAGTGTCGAGTCACCTAGACTGTTGGCCACATTGCAACATGATCGATAGCATTCGATCTGCACTAATAAGGACTAGACAAGCATGACATTGATGACCACCCAGTGATCGATCAATTGTGATTCCATCTCAGTCCTACAGTAGGTTAGTCACGGCTCGGATAGCTCAGTGGTAACGTCTCTGAATGTGAAGCTGGGTGACACGAGATCGAATCCGCCAGAGAGCATCAGTTCCCTCAAGATGACAGGTACACCTTGCTGACGAGTGCCAAGTAGCACGAATCCCGTGTGCAGAGTTTCCTGTTGACTACCTCCAACCACCATCTAAATCTCAATACATAGTGCCCGCAGTGTCGAGTCACCTAGACTGTTGGCCACATTGCAACATAATCGATAGCATTCGATCTGCACTAATAAGGACTAGACAAGCATGACATTGATCACCACCCAGTGATCGATCAATTGTGATTCCATCTCAGTCCTACAGGAGGTTAGTCACGGCTCGGATAGCTCAGTGGTAACGTCTCTGAATGTGAAGCTGGGTGACACGAGATCGAATCCGCCAGGGAGCATCAGTTCCCTCAAGATGACAGGTACACCTTGCTGACGAGTGCCAAGTAGCACGAATCCCGTGTGCAGAGTTTCCTGTTGACTACCTCCAACCACCATCTGAATCTCAATACATAGTGCCCGCAGTGTCGAGTCACCTAGACTGTTGGCCACATTGCAACATGATCGATAGCATTCGATCTGCACTAATAAGGACTAGACAAGCATGACATTGATCACCACCCAGTGATCGATCAATTGTGATTCCATCTCAGTCCTACAGGAGGTTAGTCACGGCTCGGATAGCTCAGTGGTAACGTCTCTGAATGTGAAGCTGGGTGACACGAGATCGAATCCGCCAGGGAGCATCAGTTCCCTCAAGATGACAGGTCCACCTTGCTGACGAGTGCCAAGTGGCACGAATCCCGTGTTCAGAGTTTCCTGTTGACTACCTCCAACCACCATCTAAATCTCAATACATAGTGCCCGCAGTGTCGAGTCACCTAGACTGTTGGCCACATTGCAACATGATCGATAGCATTCGATCTGCACTAATAAGGACTAGACAAGCATGACATTGATGACCACCCAGTGATCGATCAATTGTGATTCCATCTCAGTCCTACAGTAGGTTAGTCACGGCTCGGATAGCTCAGTGGTAACGTCTCTGAATGTGAAGCTGGGTGACACGAGATCGAATCCGCCAGAGAGCATCAGTTCCCTCAAGATGACAGGTACACCTTGCTGACGAGTGCCAAGTAGCACGAATCCCGTGTGCAGAGTTTCCTGTTGACTACCTCCAACCACCATCTGAATCTCAATACATAGTGCCCGCAGTGTCGAGTCACCTAGACTGTTGGCCACATTGCAACATAATCGATAGCATTCGATCTGCACTAATAAGGACTAGACAAGCATGACATTGATCACCACCCAGTGATCGATCAATTGTGATTCCATCTCAGTCCTACAGGAGGTTAGTCACGGCTCGGATAGCTCAGTGGTAACGTCTCTGAATGTGAAGCTGGGTGACACGAGATCGAATCCGCCAGGGAGCATCAGTTCCCTCAAGATGACAGGTACACCTTGCTGACGAGTGCCAAGTAGCACGAATCCCGTGTGCAGAGTTTCCTGTTGACTACCTCCAACCACCATCTAAATCTCAATACATAGTGCCCGCAGTGTCGAGTCACCTAGACTGTTGGCCACATTGCAACATGATCGATAGCATTCGATCTGCACTAATAAGGACTAGACAAGCATGACATTGATCACCACCCAGTGATCGATCAATTGTGATTCCATCTCAGTCCTACAGGAGGTTAGTCACGGCTCGGATAGCTCAGTGGTAACGTCTCTGAATGTGAAGCTGGGTGACACGAGATCGAATCCGCCAGGGAGCATCAGTTCCCTCAAGATGACAGGTACATCTTGCTGACGAGTGCCAAGTAGCACGAATCCCGTGTGCAGAGTTTCCTGTTGACTACCTCCAACCACCATCTAAATCTCAATACATAGTGCCCGCAGTGTCGAGTCACCTAGACTGTTGGCCACATTGCAACATGATCGATAGCATTCGATCTGCACTAATAAGGACTAGACAAGCATGACATTGATCACCACCCAGTGATCGATCAATTGTGATTCCATCTCAGTCCTACAGTAGGTTAGTCACGGCTCGGATAGCTCAGTGGTAACGTCTCTGAATGTGAAGCTGGGTGACACGAGATCGAATCCGCCAGGGAGCATCAGTTCCCTCAAGATGACAGGTACACCTTGCTGACGAGTGCCAAGTAGCACGAATCCCGTGTGCAGAGTTTCCTGTTGACTACCTCCAACCACCATCTGAATCTCAATACATAGTGCCCGCAGTGTCGAGTCACCTGGACTGTTGGCCACATTGCAACATGATCGATAGCATTCGATCTGCACTAATAAGGACTAGACAAGCATGACATTGATGACCACCCAGTGATCGATCAATTGTGATTCCATCTCAGTCCTACAGGAGGTTAGTCACGGCTCGGATAGCTCAGTGGTAACGTCTCTGAATGTGAAGCTGGGTGACACGAGATCGAATCCGCCAGGGAGCATCAGTTCCCTCAAGATGACAGGTACATCTTGCTGACGAGTGCCAAGTAGCACGAATCCCGTGTGCAGAGTTTCCTGTTGACTACCTCCAACCACCATCTAAATCTCAATACATAGTGCCCGCAGTGTCGAGTCACCTAGACTGTTGGCCACATTGCAACATAATCGATAGCATTCGATCTGCACTAATAAGGACTAGACAAGCATGACATTGATCACCACCCAGTGATCGATCAATTGTGATTCCATCTCAGTCCTACAGGAGGTTAGTCACGGCTCGGATAGCTCAGTGGTAACGTCTCTGAATGTGAAGCTGGGTGACACGAGATCGAATCCGCCAGAGAGCATCAGTTCCCTCAAGATGACAGGTACATCTTGCTGACGAGTGCCAAGTAGCACGAATCCCGTGTGCAGAGTTTCCTGTTGACTACCTCCAACCACCATCTAAATCTCAATACATAGTGCCCGCAGTGTCGAGTCACCTAGACTGTTGGCCACATTGCAACATGATCGATAGCATTCGATCTGCACTAATAAGGACTAGACAAGCATGACATTGATCACCACCCAGTGATCGATCAATTGTGATTCCATCTCAGTCCTACAGTAGGTTAGTCACGGCTCGGATAGCTCAGTGGTAACGTCTCTGAATGTGAAGCTGGGTGACACGAGATCGAATCCGCCAGGGAGCATCAGTTCCCTCAAGATGACAGGTACACCTTGCTGACGAGTGCCAAGTAGCACGAATCCCGTGTGCAGAGTTTCCTGTTGACTACCTCCAACCACCATCTGAATCTCAATACATAGTGCCCGCAGTGTCGAGTCACCTAGACTGTTGGCCACATTGCAACATGATCGATAGCATTCGATCTGCACTAATAAGGACTAGACAAGCATGACATTGATCACCACCCAGTGATCGATCAATTGTGATTCCATCTCAGTCCTACAGTAGGTTAGTCACGGCTCGGATAGCTCAGTGGTAACGTCTCTGAATGTGAAGCTGGGTGACACGAGATCGAATCCGCCAGGGAGCATCAGTTCCCTCAAGATGACAGGTACACCTTGCTGACGAGTGCCAAGTAGCACGAATCCCGTGTGCAGAGTTTCCTGTTGACTACCTCCAACCACCATCTAAATCTCAATACATAGTGCCCGCAGTGTCGAGTCACCTAGACTGTTGGCCACATTGCAACATGATCGATAGCATTCGATCTGCACTAATAAGGACTAGACAAGCATGACATTGATCACCACCCAGTGATCGATCAATTGTGATTCCATCTCAGTCCTACAGGAGGTTAGTCACGGCTCGGATAGCTCAGTGGTAACGTCTCTGAATGTGAAGCTGGGTGACACGAGATCGAATCCGCCAGGGAGCATCAGTTCCCTCAAGATGACAGGTACATCTTGCTGACGAGTGCCAAGTAGCACGAATCCCGTGTCCAGAGTTTCCTGTTGACTACCTCCAACCACCATCTAAATCTCAATACATAGTGCCCGCAGTGTCGAGTCACCTAGACTGTTGGCCACATTGCAACATAATCGATAGCATTCGATCTGCACTAATAAGGACTAGACAAGCATGACATTGATCACCACCCAGTGATCGATCAATTGTGATTCCATCTCAGTCCTACAGTAGGTTAGTCACGGCTCGGATAGCTCAGTGGTAACGTCTCTGAATGTGAAGCTGGGTGACACGAGATCGAATCCGCCAGGGAGCATCAGTTCCCTCAAGATGACAGGTACACCTTGCTGACGAGTGCCAAGTAGCACGAATCCCGTGTGCAGAGTTTCCTGTTGACTACCTCCAACCACCATCTAAATCTCAATACATAGTGCCCGCAGTGTCGAGTCACCTAGACTGTTGGCCACATTGCAACATGATCGATAGCATTCGATCTGCACTAATAAGGACTAGACAAGCATGACATTGATGACCACCCAGTGATCGATCAATTGTGATTCCATCTCAGTCCTACAGTAGGTTAGTCACGGCTCGGATAGCTCAGTGGTAACGTCTCTGAATGTGAAGCTGGGTGACACGAGATCGAATCCGCCAGGGAGCATCAGTTCCCTCAAGATGACAGGTACATCTTGCTGACGAGTGCCAAGTAGCACGAATCCCGTGTGCAGAGTTTCCTGTTGACTACCTCCAACCACCATCTAAATCTCAATACATAGTGCCCGCAGTGTCGAGTCACCTAGACTGTTGGCCACATTGCAACATAATCGATAGCATTCGATCTGCACTAATAAGGACTAGACAAGCATGACATTGATGACCACCCAGTGATCGATCAATTGTGATTCCATCTCAGTCCTACAGGAGGTTAGTCACGGCTCGGATAGCTCAGTGGTAACGTCTCTGAATGTGAAGCTGGGTGACACGAGATCGAATCCGCCAGGGAGCATCAGTTCCCTCAAGATGACAGGTACACCTTGCTGACGAGTGCCAAGTAGCACGAATCCCGTGTGCAGAGTTTCCTGTTGACTACCTCCAACCACCATCTAAATCTCAATACATAGTGCCCGCAGTGTCGAGTCACCTAGACTGTTGGCCACATTGCAACATGATCGATAGCATTCGATCTGCACTAATAAGGACTAGACAAGCATGACATTGATCACCACCCAGTGATCGATCAATTGTGATTCCATCTCAGTCCTACAGTAGGTTAGTCACGGCTCGGATAGCTCAGTGGTAACGTCTCTGAATGTGAAGCTGGGTGACACGAGATCGAATCCGCCAGGGAGCATCAGTTCCCTCAAGATGACAGGTACACCTTGCTGACGAGTGCCAAGTAGCACGAATCCCGTGTGCAGAGTTTCCTGTTGACTACCTCCAACCACCATCTGAATCTCAATACATAGTGCCCGCAGTGTCGAGTCACCTAGACTGTTGGCCACATTGCAACATGATCGATAGCATTCGACCTGCACTAATAAGGACTAGACAAGCATGACATTGATGACCACCCAGTGATCGATCAATTGTGATTCCATCTCAGTCCTACAGGAGGTTAATCACGGCTCGGATAGCTCAGTGGTAACGTCTCTGAATGTGAAGCTGGGTGACACGAGATCGAATCCGCCAGGGAGCATCAGTTCCCTCAAGATGACAGGTACACCTTGCTGACGAGTGCCAAGTAGCACGAATCCCGTGTGCAGAGTTTCCTGTTGACTACCTCCAACCACCATCTAAATCTCAATACATAGTGCCCGCAGTGTCGAGTCACCTAGACTGTTGGCCACATTGCAACATGATCGATAGCATTCGATCTGCACTAATAAGGACTAGACAAGCATGACATTGATCACCACCCAGTGATCGATCAATTGTGATTCCATCTCAGTCCTACAGGAGGTTAATCACGGCTCGGATAGCTCAGTGGTAACGTCTCTGAATGTGAAGCTGGGTGACACGAGATCGAATCCGCCAGGGAGCATCAGTTCCCTCAAGATGACAGGTACACCTTGCTGACGAGTGCCAAGTAGCACGAATCCCGTGTGCAGAGTTTCCTGTTGACTACCTCCAACCACCATCTAAATCTCAATACATAGTGCCCGCAGTGTCGAGTCACCTAGACTGTTGGCCACATTGCAACATGATCGATAGCATTCGATCTGCACTAATAAGGACTAGACAAGCATGACATTGATCACCACCCAGTGATCGATCAATTGTGATTCCATCTCAGTCCTACAGTAGGTTAGTCACGGCTCGGATAGCTCAGTGGTAACGTCTCTGAATGTGAAGCTGGGTGACACGAGATCGAATCCGCCAGGGAGCATCAGTTCCCTCAAGATGACAGGTACACCTTGCTGACGAGTGCCAAGTAGCACGAATCCCGTGTGCAGAGTTTCCTGTTGACTACCTCCAACCACCATCTAAATCTCAATACATAGTGCCCGCAGTGTCGAGTCACCTAGACTGTTGGCCACATTGCAACATGATCGATAGCATTCGATCTGCACTAATAAGGACTAGACAAGCATGACATTGATGACCACCCAGTGATCGATCAATTGTGATTCCATCTCAGTCCTACAGTAGGTTAGTCACGGCTCGGATAGCTCAGTGGTAACGTCTCTGAATGTGAAGCTGGGTGACACGAGATCGAATCCGCCAGGGAGCATCAGTTCCCTCAAGATGACAGGTACACCTTGCTGACGAGTGCCAAGTAGCACGAATCCCGTGTGCAGAGTTTCCTGTTGACTACCTCCAACCACCATCTAAATCTCAATACATAGTGCCCGCAGTGTCGAGTCACCTAGACTGTTGGCCACATTGCAACATGATCGATAGCATTCGACCTGCACTAATAAGGACTAGACAAGCATGACATTGATCACCACCCAGTGATCGATCAATTGTGATTCCATCTCAGTCCTACAGGAGGTTAGTCACGGCTCGGATAGCTCAGTGGTAACGTCTCTGAATGTGAAGCTGGGTGACACGAGATCGAATCCGCCAGGGAGCATCAGTTCCCTCAAGATGACAGGTACACCTTGCTGACGAGTGCCAAGTAGCACGAATCCCGTGTGCAGAGTTTCCTGTTGACTACCTCCAACCACCATCTAAATCTCAATACATAGTGCCCGCAGTGTCGAGTCACCTGGACTGTTGGCCACATTGCAACATGATCGATAGCATTCGATCTGCACTAATAAGGACTAGACAAGCATGACATTGATCACCACCCAGTGATCGATCAATTGTGATTCCATCTCAGTCCTACAGGAGGTTAGTCACGGCTCGGATAGCTCAGTGGTAACGTCTCTGAATGTGAAGCTGGGTGACACGAGATCGAATCCGCCAGAGAGCATCAGTTCCCTCAAGATGACAGGTACATCTTGCTGACGAGTGCCAAGTAGCACGAATCCCGTGTGCAGAGTTTCCTGTTGACTACCTCCAACCACCATCTAAATCTCAATACATAGTGCCCGCAGTGTCGAGTCACCTAGACTGTTGGCCACATTGCAACATGATCGATAGCATTCGACCTGCACTAATAAGGACTAGACAAGCATGACATTGATCACCACCCAGTGATCGATCAATTGTGATTCCATCTCAGTCCTACAGGAGGTTAGTCACGGCTCGGATAGCTCAGTGGTAACGTCTCTGAATGTGAAGCTGGGTGACACGAGATCGAATCCGCCAGGGAGCATCAGTTCCCTCAAGATGACAGGTACACCTTGCTGACGAGTGCCAAGTAGCACGAATCCCGTGTGCAGAGTTTCCTGTTGACTACCTCCAACCACCATCTAAATCTCAATACATAGTGCCCGCAGTGTCGAGTCACCTAGACTGTTGGCCACATTGCAACATGATCGATAGCATTCGATCTGCACTAATAAGGACTAGACAAGCATGACATTGATCACCACCCAGTGATCGATCAATTGTGATTCCATCTCAGTCCTACAGTAGGTTAGTCACGGCTCGGATAGCTCAGTGGTAACGTCTCTGAATGTGAAGCTGGGTGACACGAGATCGAATCCGCCAGGGAGCATCAGTTCCCTCAAGATGACAGGTACACCTTGCTGACGAGTGCCAAGTAGCACGAATCCCGTGTCCAGAGTTTCCTGTTGACTACCTCCAACCACCATCTAAATCTCAATACATAGTGCCCGCAGTGTCGAGTCACCTAGACTGTTGGCCACATTGCAACATGATCGATAGCATTCGATCTGCACTAATAAGGACTAGACAAGCATGACATTGATCACCACCCAGTGATCGATCAATTGTGATTCCATCTCAGTCCTACAGTAGGTTAGTCACGGCTCGGATAGCTCAGTGGTAACGTCTCTGAATGTGAAGCTGGGTGACACGAGATCGAATCCGCCAGAGAGCATCAGTTCCCTCAAGATGACAGGTACACCTTGCTGACGAGTGCCAAGTAGCACGAATCCCGTGTGCAGAGTTTCCTGTTGACTACCTCCAACCACCATCTAAATCTCAATACATAGTGCCCGCAGTGTCGAGTCACCTAGACTGTTGGCCACATTGCAACATGATCGATAGCATTCGATCTGCACTAATAAGGACTAGACAAGCATGACATTGATCACCACCCAGTGATCGATCAATTGTGATTCCATCTCAGTCCTACAGGAGGTTAGTCACGGCTCGGATAGCTCAGTGGTAACGTCTCTGAATGTGAAGCTGGGTGACACGAGATCGAATCCGCCAGGGAGCATCAGTTCCCTCAAGATGACAGGTACACCTTGCTGACGAGTGCCAAGTAGCACGAATCCCGTGTGCAGAGTTTCCTGTTGACTACCTCCAACCACCATCTAAATCTCAATACATAGTGCCCGCAGTGTCGAGTCACCTAGACTGTTGGCCACATTGCAACATGATCGATAGCATTCGATCTGCACTAATAAGGACTAGACAAGCATGACATTGATCACCACCCAGTGATCGATCAATTGTGATTCCATCTCAGTCCTACAGGAGGTTAGTCACGGCTCGGATAGCTCAGTGGTAACGTCTCTGAATGTGAAGCTGGGTGACACGAGATCGAATCCGCCAGAGAGCATCAGTTCCCTCAAGATGACAGGTACATCTTGCTGACGAGTGCCAAGTAGCACGAATCCTGCGG